GCAAAGCAAGAATCCCACTGTCCGGGCTTCTTGCACCAACAAATTTCACAGTGACCGCAGGCCTCTCCCTGCGGACACTGTCTAAGAAGAAGACGTGGACCACATGCGATAACCAGTTCCAGCGCCACATCGAGGACCATGGGCTAATTTTTAGGATTTTAGGATTTATAAGATTTTAAGGTTTTTTAGGTTTACTTTACGTTAGATTTAGGATGCAAGAGAGGTTGTAGTAGGCTTAAGTTTTTTAAGTAGAATAAGGTAGAGGGCTATTGTACATAATTAGGTTAGTTAATTAGCATTGTAGACTAGGACTAGCTGTAAGTTAGTTTAGGTAACAAGAGAAGGTGTATTAGATTTAGGTCTAAACTTAGGGGTAATGTGCCCACAGTAGGTTAAGGTAGGTTAAGTCAGTGATGTCAGCATGCAAAGAGTGTAAAACACTCTAAAGATGTTAGAATTAAGACTCGTAGATACGTTAGCAGTAAGAAATTTGTAAAAAAAAATTGTCTGAATAAATAATGTCCAAGGCGGTCGGCGCGCTCTAACCGGTATCCTCGAATCTTGATTCGGTCTCCGGGGCGCAACCATATTTCCACGATTAGCGCCACATCGACATCGTGAGTCTCGACCTGAAACTGGACGAACTCGCCGAGACGACAACGGAGTCCTCATGAGTTCCACTCACCAATCCTCATAGGGCACAGTTGGCACAGTGCTTAAAAATCGAAGCTGCTAATGTCCTCGTTGAAGAATTGCGCAAAAACCAGAATTTTTTCTGTTTTCGTAGCGCAGCTCTTCAATGCGGCGCTGTAAAATCTTACCGCCTTGACTATCTCCTGCAAGTTTACCTGCATTGCGAGCTCGGCGAATTCCCGCTGGGCGCTATCAAGCATGGCCACCGCATTTCCATTTGCACTATGGGCTGGGGGGGGCGGAGCTTGTTGAAGGCTGGTGGACGGAGCTCGCGGGCCGAGCTGCCTGGCGGACTAGTGGTGGAAAGTCCGCCAGCGAGTTGAGCTCACACCACACCACACCACTCCGGTTGCTCATCATCTCTCAACCGATGAACAACAATCCTAATCTGCTGGTCTGTTTTTCGAATTTGGAACAAAGTGATTCATCCTCGCGTCCCAACTACAGTGTTGAAGCTTCGCTGCTTCGTGTTTTGCCACCCCACCGGAACCACGTGTTTACACAGTTCCATAAAAAGAAATTCGAGCACGTGCCTCCTTCAGGGGCACGCGCAGG